TAGCCCTCTAGCCCTCCAAGATCCTCCAATATATTAATATTTTAATGAACAGTACAATGTCATATTTGCCTCCGTCTCCAACCAAGGGCCAAATGGCTAGAGGACTCGTTTTAGCTCTGTCACAAAAAACTGTCTCCAACCAAGGGCCATAGGACTAAACATAATTTATTATTTAAATTTAAAAACTACAACAACTTAAATTTAAAAACAACTTAAATTTAAAAACTACAACTTATATTTAAAAACTACAACTAAAATTTAAAAACGAGTGTAATTCGAAGTGTTCATTTCCATATTCTTATCATCCATCTCTTCTTGTATTTGTTTGGCCCATGCTTCATGCCTACACTTCCTTTCTTCCGCCTCAAGGGCATTTTGCTCTACCAATAATCGCAATGAGGCCGCCACTTCATGTTGAGCGGCGTAATCATCATTTGCCTTGCCCTTTTCCTTCAACCTTCGCGCCTTGTTTCGTCCAATAACCCTAGGTATAAAACTTTCACCCGAAGACGGATTTTCTACCCTTGTTTGTTGGATGGTTGGAGATCCATCTTCATCCATATTTGCAGCTGAGGATGCAGTTCCGAACACCGGCGTATGAGCTCTCTGTGGTGGATCTTTAAATAACACACACCCTTTACAAATTTCCCAACAACTGTGAAACTGAAAGGGTTTCGAGCTGCTCTCCATATACAATTCCTCCGCTTGGCGTACCTAGAAAAACATTAAAGGAAATTAATTTATGAAATTAAATGTAATATAATTAAATATTTAAAATAAATTGTGAAACACTTACTTCGTCGTAGTAATTAACACCGCTTTCATGTCTATTTGCGGCTGCTAACAATGCTTGATGTCATTTGTTCAAACTTGGCTGAAGATGGTTTTTCCATCTTGAAGAACAACTCTCGTGGTTTCGAATATTCACTGGAGTGGTGCATTCATAGAACTCTAAATATTTTTTGGACACACGAGTCCAAACACCGTCATTTGTTTGACAATTCCTCCTCACACTATCTTCCGACACCCATTTATAAGACTTGCAAAGAGTTTCATCTTCTTTTCAGGTCCAAGCCCTACCTTTCATTGCAGACGAGGCCATTTGAAAATTAATGAAAAAATTGAATGATAGATTTTTGGAAGAGGAAAGAAAATATGAGAATTGAAATGGTGTAGGAATGGTGAAATTTTTTTAGGAATGGTGAATGAATGGTTTAGGTATTTATAGGAAAGAAAAATAGAATTTTTTTTTTTTTTAAAAAGGCCCAAAAAACCTAAAAAAAAAAAAATTGAATCCAATGGTAACTGGCGCCAGCTAGCCGTTGAATTCAATTTCTTTTTAAGAATTAACCGATAGTAATACATTTCTATTAAATATTATAAATGTATTACTGTCGGTTATAACCGACAGGATAAATGATTTTCTAGTCAGCCCTCCAGCCCTTTCTGATTCCGTGGGACCCTCTCAGATTCCACAGCCCTATGGCCTAGCCCTCGGTTGGAGACGGTTTTCGGGCTATTTTCAGCCATCTGGACCCTTCGGTTGGAGATAGCCTAAAGTGGATCCGCCCCTGCCTAAAGTGTTTTTCCAAAAACATGATCATTTCCCTAAAACCCACCCATCCCTTTATCTACCTACCACGAACAATTTGGAGATGGTAGAGGAGGTGATGAAATCTCAACGGTGATTAGATTAGTTTGATGACGAATCTTATTTTTTAATCATGGGTTCGGGGCCTTGATTTGGGTGGATTGACTGTGAATGTTGGTTTCAAAATAAATTTTGAGTTTCGATATTTGGATTTGTATGTGTTTCGTTTCAATGTTGTTTTCTGCAAAAAATTTTGCAATGAACAAGAGAAGCAAGAAAGAAAGAGGAACGCCAAGTTACTCTAGGCTTGGGAAGAAGCGTGACATTTTACTTTTCTAATTATAAATTGTATGGTTAAAAGGAATAGATTAATGAAGATTAATGAAGAGCACATGTACAAATTAAATATTTAAATTTTTAACACATTAAATTTCATAATATCGTCCCCTTCTTTCTCTCTCGCCCAGGAAAAGAAACCTTTTTTTATCTCCATAGCTGCCGACCCCTTCCTCTGGTGGGGCAGTGGCAGCCTCCTCTCTTCAAATTTTCTTGTTTTCTTTCTCTTCCTTGATTTTGGTAAGGTGCTGCAATGCGCTTGAAGGAGGCAGCATTTTTCTCATTTCAGATCTAGGGTTTTTAATTTAGAATTTACTACGGACGGCCTCTTGTTTGGGCATGTTCATTGTATTTTCTCTTAAGTTGGTTGTGCTTTTACTTGTTTGTTTTGGCCTGCCTTTTTTTGAGCTTTCCTTACTTCCTAATAGCCATCTTTATTGATGAATTGTATTATGTTTGACAACAAACAACTAAATTTTAAGAGATAATAGAGTACAAGTGTCAACAAATGAGTGGGAAAGGCAAGATGGAAAAGGGAAGAAGAAAGTTAGCTAGCATCCCCTAAACTACTTGTCCATAGACTCCGACCGCAGACAACATGAAGACCAAATACCGTGAGACGAAATAGTATTACATATTCAAAATGTAAAAATATATTAACATATAAGGTGAATTATCGAATTAGTCCATGAATTATACATTCAGTGAAAATTAGGTTCTTAAATTATTTTTTTAGTAAAATAAGTCTCTAAATTCATTAGAAATTACTAATTTCATCCCTACTATTATATTCAAAACTATTTTATCCAATTTTTCGTCAATTTAAGTCACTTGACACACTTCAGAGTGTAATTCCATTATTTTCTCTATCTAAGCTCTTAACATTTCATATAGGTTGCGAATCTAGCGTGTAATTTATCCTTCAAAGTTAACTTACGCTATTTCTTATGAAAAACCACCAATTTACCCTTCAAAGTTAACTTTATATACTATTTCTTTATGAAAAACTGTCAATCTACTATCCAATGTGTATCATATGCAATTAACATGACCTAATTAATGAAAAAAATTAATATAGTAGCTTTGAATATAATATTATAGATGTCATTGACAGATTTTTATAATTTTTACTGAGATGAGAACTCGAAAACTAAATTAACAGTTCATTATAACATATATCAAAATGAGCTTGAGTTTAGCCAAATTTGCTAGAACCATGAACTCCATCTGCATGTTCAAATGTTCTTTTATGTAATTTAGATAATTTAATATTTAATTTTATCGTTTGACAAAACAAATGTTTATGATGAAGTCAAATTTTTGCTTTATAAAGCTTTTGTTCTCTTTATGAATTAGGAGGGCACTAAAAAGTTGGCTTTGAAATTTCTGGCAGAGTTGGTTGAATCCAAAGCAAGACAAACGTTATTATAAATTATAATCCACATATGGTTAAATATAAACCAACAGGATCCTCTCCTGATCTTTTTAATAAGGATCCTGAAAATTCGTAAATTGTGTATATTTAATGTATATTGTGTGGTCAGTTTTTATTAAATATTATTTGTATTTAATTTTAAATAAAAATATTTAAAATAATTTATAACAGCACGATGTATGATGAACAAACAGAATTAACGGATCTTTGGGATCCTCGTTGGATGGAGGATCCGGATTCAAATACAAATGAGGCACTAATTGTTTATTTATTTAATAATAATCTTCATTCAAGAAACTTAATGGGGTTGTTTGACTTTATTTAGTTTGTCGTTCTCCCAATGTGACTTCCGAGGCCAGTTCTCGTATCCAGAAGCATCTTGGCCACGATTGAGTGAAAACAAATGTAGTACCTTGATTGAATGAGAAATATTAAGGAGATTCTCCGTCATCTCACGTTTTTAGAATAATATTTATAATATTGGTAAAAAAATTGTGTCAAAAATATAAAGTGACAGAAAGTTCATGAAAAGTTTCACTTTTAAGAGAGTCCCTTTAGCATTCTTTTGATTGAGTATTTTCTTCCCCATACCATCATCGGGAAAAATGTGAGGTGGCAACATTATAAATCGTTGTGCAAAAAATGTGAGATGACAAAGAATTTTTAGAAAGTCTCACTTTTAAGAGAGTTTCCTTAATATTTCTCTGTTTTTTAAAGGGTAATGATACAGAAACTAAATTTTTAAATCAAATTTGTAAACCAAATGAAGTGGTTGTAGATGATTGGATTATTAATTAAGTGTCAGTTAACGTGTTTGCTCTTATTAGTGATACATCATTTGATTTGTAAATTTGGTTTAAATTTTTTATTTCTTTAGCATTAGCATTAAACTCTTTTTAAATCACATGATAGGAGAGATAAGAAAATAATAGTTTATTGATTACCCTCAGTTATTTGTATTTTATAATACGATTTAATAATATTTTTCTTTATTTATAAGTAATATATTTAGTTGTGATACGGTTATTTGGTTATACACAACTATTAGTAATATAGTCTAATGATATTTCTTTTTCATTTATTAGTAGCTTATTTTAGATCTCGATACTGGTACTGTATCATATATGAGACATGTTTGGAACTGCCATAAGGAGAGATACCGGTAAAACCGTATAAGTAGCTAGAAGACATGTTCAAGCTATATTTTAAGTGCAAATTACTTAAAGTTTGAATTGAAATATGATTATTTGATTCAATTCTCAAATCTAGAGGCAATCCGGCAATCCGGCAATGGTTATGGGACCAACTTTCATTTGGCTTTATATTTTGTATATATTTTCGGATATCTCAAAGGTGCAACAAAGGTTGATATTTCTTAAGGTATAGGACAACAGGGAATTTGTTATTTCTGTGGAAGTACGGCTAATGGAAAGAGAAGGCCTGCACCTTCTACTCGGTTTGATCCAAGAAACTGCAACAATCTCACCATTTGGAAGAAGATCTTTTTAGAACCTAGTGAAAGTTAAAAGGAAAGACAGAATTATATATATACATATATATATATATATATACACACACACACATATATATATACATATATATATATATAGATGTATGTATATATGTAATATAGGACAATTCTCTTGTACCCATTTTTATGCGGAATTTTGGTGCCTCCCGTGATAGCAAATGTTAAAACCAACACCACAGTTTTCATGTTCACAGCTTCAGATTTAGTCACATTTTCTTGTAGTTAGAGAGAGAGAGAGAGAGAGAGAGAGAGAGAGAGAGAGGTTTGCAGATGTAAAAGAGTGAAGTTATAGTATTACAACTTAATCGGTAAAAATGGCAGGATCGTCTGGAAGAACAAAGAGGAAGATAAGGTGGAGCAAACTGTATTCTTTTGCATGCTTCAGACCTGTCACAACTGAGAATGATCCAAGCCAGCAGCTCCTTGGCCAGCCGGGGTTTTCGCGGGTGGTTTTCTGCAACGAGCCTGAGCTGCACAAGGCCAAGCCTTACAAGTACCCCAAGAACTATGTCTCCACAACCAAGTACAATATCATGACTTTTCTTCCAAAAGCGCTTTTCGAGCAGTTCCGAAGAGTTGCCAATCTGTATTTTCTGTTGGCAGCTGTGTTGTCCGTCACTTATTTGGCTCCTTTTCAACCAATAAGTTTGATTGCTCCTTTGGTCTTTGTGGTGGGGGTTAGCATGATCAAGGAGGCAGTGGAGGACTGGCAAAGATTCTTGCAGGTAAACAGAAAATACAGTAAAATATTTATTTTCAATAAATTCGTATATTCATAATTCTTGAAATTTTAGCTCCTCTTTTTCTACTGCAGAAGAAAATTAGTTTGATTCAAAATTGACTCCCCACTTTATTACTTGTTGAAGAATGTAGATTTTTCAGCCCACACAAGAAAATAACCGAATTAAATACAGCTTATATTGAACGGTTTCACTGCTAATTTATCCTCCCTTATTTGATATTTAGTATGATCATAAACCCCCTTGACTTTCCTGTTCTACTTTGCTAAAAATCTTCATTTTTCCCTCCATTTTAATAAACTTTCTGGGACTATTTACAACAAATTTATTTTGTGTTCCAGGATTTGAATGTGAACTCAAGAACTGTAAAGGTTCACGTTGGAGACGGCGAATTTATTGAAAAACCATGGCAAGGACTGTGTGTAGGAGATGTTGTGAAGGTTAACAAGAATGAATATTTTCCTAGTGATCTCCTCTTACTATCTTCCAGCTATGAGGATGGCATATGTTATGTAGAGACCATGAACCTTGATGGAGAAACTAATCTCAAGGTTAAACGATGCTCGGAAGCCACACTTGGCCTTGTCAATGATCAATCATTTGTTTTATTCAGGGCTACCGTCCGCTGTGAGGACCCGAATCCTCATCTCTACACCTTTGTAGGGAACTTAGAGTTGAAAAATGCATCATTTCCCTTGTGTCCTGCCTCACTTCTCCTAAGAGATTCAAAGCTTCGGAACACTGATTATATTTATGGGGTTGTGATTTTTAGTGGACCAGACACAAAAGCTGTGAGGAACTCAACAAGATCACCATCTAAGCGCAGTCGGATTGAAAGAAAGATGGATCTTGTCATCTACCTTCTCTTTTCGATGCTTCTGTTGATTTCACTGGTCACTTTGATTGGTTTTGCAGAGTTTTTGAAAACGGAGATGATTAAGTGGTGGTATCTTTCTCTAGATGATAAAGATCCATTTTTTCAACCATCAAAGCCTGAGGTATCTGGTTTCCTACAGTTCATAAGGGCTCTTATTTTGTATGGTTACTTGATCCCCATTTCTCTCTATGTTTCCATTGAGGTTGTCAAAGTTTTACAAGCCATGCTCATTAACAAGGACATCAAATTGTATGATGAAGTTACATGTAAATCTGTTCAAACGCGAACATCAAATTTAAATGAAGAGCTTGGTCAGGTGGAGATGATTCTGTCTGATAAAACGGGGACTTTGACGTGTAACCAGATGGAATTCAGGAAATGCTCTATTGCTGGAATTTCGTATGGGGGTGATGTAAATGAAATTGATCGTGCAGCATCTCAACGGATGAATGTTGATGTTGAGTCATATTGTTTTAGTATTGATGAGTTTGAAACAGCAAGCCAAAGCTGCGAAATGTTTGAGTTCTCAGTTGGTGACATTAGCACTGAAAGGGCTATTCTAGGTGGACAAAGACATGAGCAGAATTATTCAAGTGCAGAAAACTCGAGAATCTCGAACGTGGAGGAAGAATCTGCCATCAAGGGTTTCAACTTTAGGGATGGCAGGCTTATGAACAAAAAGTGGATGTACAGATCCAACTTATCCGATGTAACAATGTTCTTTCGAGTCATGGCTCTATGTCACACAGGCATACCTGTTGAGGAGGATGAGCTAACTCATAAGCTAAAGTATGAGGCAGAGTCACCGGAAGAAGTATCTTTTCTAGTTGCTGCTCAAGAGTTTGGATTTCAATTTTTTCGAAGAAGTCAGTCCTTTATGTTTCTTAAGGAATTTGATCCTTCCACGGGAAAGGAGGTTGAGAGGTACTTTCGTAACTGATTGAGACTATTTTCTTGTATAAAGTTGTGTAGTATAATGCCTAAACATGATATGAATGTATTTTCAGGAAGTACAAACTTTTGAACCTTTTAGAGTTCTGTAGCACTCGGAAAAGGATGTCTGTTATCATAAGCGACGAAGATGGTCAGATCATTCTACTCTGCAAAGGTGCAGACAAGTATGTTTCTACGCCGAAAATTATCTATTGATCTCTACCCCATGTTTTTTTTTAACTTTTTATGTTAAAGGTATCTTAAACTTGTGTTATCAGTTGATTTTGCTCTAACTTGTATCTTATATGAATTTTGGTTTTCAGCATTATCTTCGATAGGCTTGCAGAAAATGGAAGGGCATACCAACAGGCAACAACCCTACACCTTTCCAATTATGCAGAAGATGGATTCCGCACTCTGGCATTTGCTTACCGGAAACTTGAGGCTGCTGAGTATGAACAATGGAACTCAATATTCAAGGTGGCCAAGACAACAATAGGTCCCGAAAGGGAAGAAGTGCTAGAGAAAGCATCTGAAATGATCGAAAAGGATTTGATTTTATTAGGGGTTGCTGCTGTTGAAGACAAGCTACAAAAGGGGGTTAGCTATCTGTCTTTTTCTATGTTTGTGTGGCTTTTGTATGGTTACATGCTCTTTCTCATAGTCGATAGTGTCTTCTTTTATGCATACATATCAGGTTCCAGAATGCATAGATAAGCTTGCCCAAGCCGGGATAAAAATATGGCTGCTCACCGGTGACAAGAAGGAAACTGCCATAAATATAGGGTAAAGTTTGTGAAAACCATTTACTTGGTGTACTTGTAAGTCTTAAATCATCAGAAAGGCGTTGATGGAAGCTAAATTATTTGTCTTTGGCTTTCCTTTTTGCACATTCGCATTGGCAGATTTGCTTGCAGCTTGCTCCGGCAGGATATGAAGCAATTTCATCTGAGCTTGGGTAGAGAAACTGCAACTATTCCAACTAATAACCAACTGAAGGTGGAACTGGAAATTGATCGCTTCGGATAACAGTTATATTAGAATACTTTTATGTGAATTTGGCCATCCAATAGCTCAGAAAAAAAAAAAAAAAAACAAACAAAAACAAAAACAAAAGGGAAAACATGATACTATATTATGGAAGTTGAGTTGGTAATCACAAATTTTGTTTTTTTCTAGTTTCCAGGCGATGAAAGATGACATTTTAAACCAACTCGAAAGTTTTCACAAACTGAAGTCTGAAGAAGGCAATGATAATGCACCCTTGGCTTTGGTAGTAGATGGAAAAGCTCTTGAAATTGCTCTCAGAAGTGATGTGAAGGACCAGTTCTTACCATTGGCTGTTAATTGCGCTTCTGTCATATGCTGCCGCGTCTCTCCAAAACAGAAGGCTTTGGTAGGTCTATTCAGATAGAGCTTTGAGTCCAATGAAAATATTCATGCATATTCATTCTTTGTGTTTTCGAATTCCAGATTACGCGATTGGTAAAGGAACATACTGGGAAAACAACCTTGGCAATTGGAGATGGGGCAAATGATGTTGGCATGATTCAAGAAGCTGATATTGGAGTAGGAATCAGTGGCATGGAAGGAATGCAGGCAGTCATGGCCAGTGACATAGCATTGCCTCAATTCCGATTTTTGGGGAGATTACTTATAGTTCATGGGCGTTGGTGTTACAAAAGGATTTCAAAAATGGTAAATGCTTCCATCCTACTTTAGACAATAGACGATATCTTTATCTGATGCTAGGCTAAGCCCCTTTCCTCTATCCAGGTTCTCTACTTCGTGTACAAGAACATTGCGTTGGGGCTCACGCTGTTCTACTATGAGTTATCCTCAAGATTTGCAGGGGAGGTCTTCTACGACGACTGGTATATGGCCTTGTTCAATGTGATTTTGACATCTTTACCTGTTATATCATTGGGAGTCCTTGAGCAGGACGTTTCATCAGAAGTGTGCCTCCAGGTAAACAAACTTAACGAAAATCACACACATACACATGAAAAGGCGATAGTTCTTGTACACAACGGTTGTTTGCAAGAATTTCTCGTGTAAGCTATGAGAGTTTTAATGGAATTTTCTGTTTTCTTTTTTATGGAACAGTTTCCAGCTCTTTATCAACAAGGACAGAAGAACATATATTTCACGTGGTACCGGATTATTGGTTGGATAGTAAACGGCGTGGTTGCTTCTCTAGTCATATTCCTTGCAAACATATACACTTTCTCCCCTAATTCATTTCAGAAGAATGGCCAAGTTGCAGACATCACACACCTTGGTGCCATGACATACACCTGCATAATCTGGACCGTCAATTGCCAGATTGCGCTGATCATCGACCGGTTCACTTGGATCCAACATCTTTTCATATGGGGTAGCATCATGATCTGGTACGTGTTCTTGTTGGTATACGGTGCATTCCCTCCTGCCTACTCTCAAAGAGGATTTCGTGTCCTAATCGAAGCTCTTGGCCCTGCACCGTTGTATTGGACTGTCACATTATTCGTTGTGGTTGTTTCGCTGCTACCCTACTTCATTCACATCGTCATCCAACGGTCATTCTATCCGTTGGACGATCATGTGATTCAAGAAATGAAGCACTGCAGGAAAGATGTTGCAGTCAAGCAAATGTGGGAGAGGGAGAGAAGCAACTCCATAAAGATGACTCAGGTTGGGGTTTCGGCTCGGGTTGACGCGAGAATTCGGGTTCTGAAAGAACAGTTGCACCACAAGAAACAGTTGATATACAGATCAGTGACAAGCAGTCCAATATTTAGATCACTGACAAACAGCCCAGCCTAGTGGAAATTTGCCACCTTCTTATTCTTTTATTCATTAACTTGTAAGCATTGTCTAAATATAGTGCGTTCAGTTTCTTGATAGTTTCAGTGGCAAAATGTTGTTTCAATTAAATAGGCAGCCCAAGTACACACTCAGTTGCAAGCACAACGAATCATGAATGGCTTTGCAAGACAAATAAGGGAGTGTTCGGTATATGGTTTCGTTGAATTCGAGATCAAAGTGTCTTCTTTTTAAATTAAATTAGTTTAGAATATCGTCTTATCTAAATTATAATTAGTAAGTGAATGGTGGTGCAATTCATAATAATTAAAAAAAAAAAAGACAAAATTCTCGAGCCGTTAGATTTTCATCTCAAAACTATTGATGTCATAAAAAAAGTTTTTCAAATAATAAATCTATTCTTAAGATTAATTACACCGATACCTTTTGAGTTTTTGCGTTTTCACACAACCACTTCAACTTCATTGATTTTTTTTCACATAACTTCTTGAGATTTGAAACTTTAAAATAAAACCCCCTAAAGTATAACACACTTTCATACGACCCCTTAATTACAAAATGACGTGACATGATTTATTAAATAAGAAAAAATGATCCCACCAAGTTAAAAGTTAAAACCGTATTTTTAGTTCCTGTAGTATCCATATGTTACATACTAATAAACGAGATAGTTTCTTGAATTTTAAAGTTTCATAATGTTTTGTCCTTTTTTAAGTAGTGGCTATATGAAGTCTTTGTAAATCATGAGGGTTTATGTGAAAATACGGATAGGGCGTAGAAAGTGTGTAATATAATTTTTTAGGCTAAATTAATAGTTTTAAAAAAATTATTGATAAAGAGTAACCAAACCAACATGAAAGAGATTAAGTTACAATTAGCACACAACATAGAAGTGGACTTTGAAAGTAAAGCTAAAAAACCCAAAACAAAGTTGTGAGCCCAAAGCAAATGAAAAACCAAAACAAACCCTAACAACTTGCTACCTCCGCAACCGTCGGTACGCCACCTGCCAGCTTTTGGACGAAAAATTAAGAGGAAATTGTAGCCCTTAACTTTAATTTAATTAGAGCAATGGTCCTTCAATTAAAAATTCATTACCATTGATCCCTCAACTCATCAAAACGTGCAGTTATAGTCCATCAACTAAAAATCCATTACCATTAGTCTGTTAACTTTAATCAAACTGGAGATATAGTCACTCAACTTTAACTCAATTCAAGCAATGGTCCCTCAACTTTAATTTAATTGTAGCAATGGTCAATCCAACATAACTTGTTTTGATAAAATTCTGACAAAGTTGATGAAAATGACCATAACTACAAGTTTTGATGAGTTGAGGGATCTCAATTGTAGCAATGATTATTCCAACATAACTCATTTTGACGAAGTTGATGAAAATGACCATAGCTACACATTTTGATGAGTTGAGGGACCAATGGTAATGAATTTTTAGTTGAGAGAACATTACTCCAATTTAATTAAAATTGATGGACAATTGCTACAATTTACTAAAAAATTAACGGAAGGAAGTTTGTGAAAATAATTTGAAACTTCAAGTGAGCAGTATAATTTCTAAAACCTCAGGGACTTTTGTGAAAACGGGAAAAATTACAATTTTTTTTAATTTTTTTCACAGAAACTGCGCTGAAGAAAAAAAGGGTTGAGGAAAATCCCATCATCTGTGGCAACTCCCACTGAGGAGAAACAGCGGTACCCAGAGAGTAAAATCAGTTGGTGTTGAGGATGGAAGAGGTTTTAGGGCAGAAGAGGGTTGAAGATGTGAGCTGGCTCTGCTCCCTCTCTGAGTCTGAACTTGTAAGTATTATTTACATCATTAAAGCAACTTAATTTCTTGATTTATTATCTTTTTGCTAAATTTAATTTTTGAATTCGTTTGTTAATTTTCAATGCTCATATCAAATTCTGCATAGAAAAGTAGACAATTTGACGTTAAAGACTAGAGCTTTATGGTTAATGGTGTCGAAAAATTGGAATTAAACACACAATTTTATGGCAGGACATGTTGATTAGCATAAAAAGGATTGTTCTTCAACGTGCAAGAATGATTGGGTGCGATGAACTTGCCCAAAAGTTTGATCTCAAGGTGATTCGAGCTCTTGGTATGTCGGATAGCTTTATCTGTTTCCATGTTCTTTGTTGTCGAATTTCGAATTAAGCTCTTGATATGAGCTGTAAAAGAAGCAAAATACCTCATTGTATTGCATTGTATATAAAGTTCCAAACTTGTGTTCCAACACTTTGGTATTCGGGCACAAATGGAACGAGAAACGGTGTTGGCATCATCGTGGACAAGACCTTGACACAAGATGTTGTAGATGTCAAGATGGTAGGAGATAGAATTATGGCAATCAAGATTGTAATAGGACAAGAACTCATCAATGTGATTAGTGCGTGCGCACCTCAAGTAGGGTTGGATACGAGTTTGAAGGAGAAATTTTGGGAAGATCTTGGAGACTTGGTGCAAGGAATTTATAGGAGGAGATTCAAATGGACACGTGGGCAAGGAGATAGGCAACTATGGAGGTTTTTATGGTGACCATGGTTTTGGGGAGAGAAACAAGGATGGGGAAGTCATCTTGGATTTTGCAATGACATATGATTTCTTCTTAGCTAACACCTTCTTTAAGAAGAGAGAAGAACATGTGATCACCTACAAGAGTGGGTTGTCAAAAACACAAATAGATTTTCTTCTAATGAGGAAAGGGGATTGTATAACTTCTAAGGATTGCAAAGTTATACCGGGAGAGAGCTTGGCTAATCAACATCGCTTGTTGGTGATGGATGTACATATCAAAAGAGAGAGAAAAAAGAACAAGACCTTGAAGTGCCCAAGGACTAGATGGTGGAGTCTAAAAGGAGAAAAACAAGCATTTTTTCAAGAGAAAGTAATCACCAAATGTGGGATTCTATGGCTAGTTGTATCCGAAAAGTAGCAAAAGAGGTATTAGGAGAGTCCAAGGGCTTTGCTCCACACCAAAAGGAATCTTGGTGGTGGAATGAGGAGGTACAACCAAGGGTTAAGGTTAAGAATGAATGTTGTAAAGCCTTATACAAGGATAGGACCAATGAAAACGGTGAAAGGTATAGAATAGCGAAGCAGGAGGCGAAGAAAGCTGTGAGAGAAGCTAAACTAGTGGCTTATGATGATATGTATAAGCGACTAGATACCAAAGAAGGAGAGTTGGATATCTATAAACTAACTAGAGCAAGAGAAAAGAAGACAAACCAAGTGAGGTGCATCAAGGATGAGAATGGAAGGGTTCTTGCTATAGAGAACGCGGTCAAAGACAGATGGAGAGGTTATTTTCATAATCTTTTCAATGAAGGACATGAAATGAGTACTTCTTTGGGGAAGTGGAGTAACTCAGAAGAGTGTAGAAACTACTCATTTTACCACCGAATTAGGAAGGAAAAAGTGGTTGTAGCTTAGAAAAAGATGAAGCATAGAAAAGCAGTGGGCCTAGATGATATACTGATCGAAGTGTGGAAAGTCTTGGGAGGGACGGGTATAGCATGGCTCACAGACCTTTTCAATAGGATTTTGAAAATGAAGAAGATGCCAAATGAGTGGTGAAAGAGCACTTTGGTGCCTATCTACAAGAATAAGGGCGACGTACAAAATTGCATGAACTATAGGGGTATTAAGCTAATGAGTCATACAATGAAGCTTTGGGTGAGAGTCATTGAGCATAGACTGAGGCAAGAGACACAGGTCTCGGACAACCAATTCGGGTTCATGCTAGGGCGCTCAACCATGGAGACAATCTATCTCTTACGAAAATTGATGGAAAGATATAGAGATATGAAAAAGGATTTACACGTGGTCTTTATAGATTTGGAAAAAGCGTATGATAGGGTTCCAAGAGACATTCTTTGGAGGATTTTAGAGAAGAAAGGAGTATGAGTAGCACATATCTAAGCTACAAAGGATATGTATGATGGAGCAAAGACTGCCGTAAGAACTCATGAAGGACAAACCGAAGGCTTCCCCATAACTGTAGGGTTACATCAAGGTTCATCTTTAAGTCCTTACATTTTTGCATTGGTAATGGATGAGTTAACGGGACATATTCAAGATGATATTCCTTGGTGTATGCTTTTCACAGACGATATAGTGTTGATAGATGAAACTCAGGAAGGGGTAAATGCGAAGCTTAACCTTTGGAGAGAAGTGTTAGAATCTAAAGGTCTTTGCCTAAGTCGATCAAAGACAGAATATATGGAGTGTAAGTTCAGTGCAAATGGAGGCCCAAATGAGTTAGGGGTGAGGATCGGAGACCAGGAAGTACCAAAAAGCGATCGCTTTCGCTACCTATGATCTATCATGCAAAAAAACGGAGAATTAGATAGAGACCTCAACCATAGAATACAAGCTGGATGGATGAAGTGGAAGAGTGCATCCGGCGTGTTGTGTGACCGTTGTATGTCACTGAAGCTCAAAGGAAAATTTTATAGGACGGCAATAAGGCTGGCGATGCTGTATGGCACGGAATGTTGGGCGGTGAAGCATCAACACGTACATAAAATGGGTGTATCGGAGATGAGGATGCTTTGTTGGATGTGTGGGAACACGAGAAATGATAAGATTAGGAATGAGGATATCCGAGGTAAAGTAGGAGTAGCCGAAATTGAAGGAAAGATGAGAGAAAATCGGTTACGGTGGTTTGGACATGTGCAACGAAGGCCTACTAACGCTCCGGTTAGAAGATGCGACTACAGGACAGAGGTCCAGGGCCGAAGGGGTAGAGGAAGACCTAGAAAGACTTTGGAAGAGGCCCTAAGAAAAGACTAGTAGTTGGATCTAACGGAGGACATGACACAGAACCGAGCACAATGGCGTTCTAGGATTCATATAGCCGATCCCACTTAGTGGGAAAAATGCTTTGTTATTGTTGATTGATTAGCATCTCATCAAGCTTATGAACGTTCTTAATTATGATCTCCGAGTGCATGGAGATTGCGGCATGTACTCAAATAATGAAAGCTAAAAGGATGACATTTTAACTTAAATTCTATCCAGTTATGAGGGAGGTTGCAGCAACATAAGTATTCTTTCTCAGGAAATGTATCAGATTCGGGGAGAAAACTCTGCTCGTCTTTTGTTTAGTAGTGGTCACTTAAGTTGTATCACACATGTATACTTTCATTGATTTCTCTCTCATGTGCTTTATTATGAAGCTCAAATTTCAATAGCCAGAAATATGTTTTCTGTTAATTGGTGACATTCTTTGCTGGAACCATATGTGGCTTGTTACTGCGTCTAGGTTTTCTAAGAATAAGGCGAGGGACAAATAAGCCATTTATACTTTGTTTGTCAACTTTGTAATTAAAGTAAAACCTGGTGTTTTTTCTTTAGGCTTTCACTTGCAAAAATCTATAGATTATATATTGTAATTGCCTTGCACAGAGGCTGGACTCAAGAAAAGGCAACAAGTATGTTGACCTCAGTTTAAGAAAAGAAGAAAATTGCTGCTTGTGGCTTTTTTTTTTAAGAACTGAGTGAAGATCAAATGAAACCGAGCTCAAATATGCAGCTTTTTTATAATCATTAAACAAGTGCACAATATGGGGTTGACTTTCATACAATTCAGAATATGCTTGAGATTGATTCTCTAGGGTTGCCATTTAGGCTGCAAATCCCTTTAAAATATGTTTTCCTACTAATTTCTTGGCTATTATAAGAGCCTGATTCCACTATAACATACACGCCCGCCATGTAGACATGGTTGATGGTCATATGAACTTCTCTTATCTTCCATTGCTGCATCTACATTTGTGTTGAAACTTGTCCTAGTTTTATTTCATAGTGGAATGTGTTTGGGGTTGAAAAAGGATAACCGAATCAATGGTCCGGTTTAAGGTATGTTTCAGAATGACAACTGAATATCTGAACCTGACCTGATTAGTTTATGCTACGAAATATCCTTCCCTTTCTTTTATCACACCAAAGTAGGAATACCTTCCTATTGGCTACTTCCTTTCAGCCACCAGGCTTTCCCTCATCTCTCTCACTTGAATATCAACATCCTTACCGCACTTTTACTGAGGTTTCCATCTCAACCCCAAGAAATTAATCTGTGTTATATCTCTCTGAACTTTATTTCTTCTAGCTATGGCTGCTTGCTTTATCTTCTTGGACTTGTTCTATGGATGGGCACTTGAATTGCCCTTCCCTCTTTTCGAATAATCCTCTTTGTGATTCTGTTTTTGAAATACTGAAATTAGCAGAGGAAAAGAGCAATTTCTTGCTTTATTTGGTGTGGCTTTGCTTGTTTTGTTTGGGAAGGTTTGGTTTCATACCTCTAGTACAAATCAAATTCGGGATAAGGTTTGGTTTGCATGGGTGTTTCACTGTTTCAGGTTTGGGATTTGATAAGGCCTCACCATATGTTGGTACTCCAACCTCCCACTTGATTGGGATGCCTTTTAATGTTACCTGTTGAGTCATTTATCAAGTTTCAAGTTACCAAATAGCTAGTCCACTTTTAGGATGTTTTTGTTCGAGTATTTATGTTTTGCAGCTTAGAATTCTCTGACTTGTATTACGTGGCTGAGGATTTGTGCAGCATTTGTTCTGATGGAATGTGTCAAAGATAAGGTAAATAATTTGTCACCGCCCGAGTCTGCTGCATTTATGGGAAGTTGCAATCTGTTAAAACATAACCTTGGTGATATTATGAGTCTTGAAGAGATAATGGCATGTATCGGTATTGATTCGAGAAAGGGTCCAATAAAAAGGTTAGTTCAGACAACAATGGTCAATGTTGTTTCTTTTTTGGTAACAGTATGATGCTTTTGACTTGAACATGTAATATGTGTGTATGTGTGTACCGTATGCAAATGACTAAAAGCATATGTGAACGTACGTGGACATGTTTATGTGGGTGAGCGTGGCTAATCGCCTTTTCTTTTCCTAGACTATTTATTCTCTTGTGGTCCTGGTCGTTCATGCATTTGGTATGATTGTATGTCGAGTAATGCAGACAAAATATGCCGCAGGAAGCACTATCGAGTCTTGATTTCATGCGGGTAGTATTTACATGATGTTGATAATGATTGTACATACTTTCTCGAGTTTCTGGAAACCGCGGGAATTCTGATAAAGTTTATTACATGAAATTTTCTTGGGGGTCTATTTTATGAAGTTTCAGAATGTATGTGGTGGCTCCAAAGTTTAGTGCCGAATTTATATTGTTATTTATCTGGAAATGAGTGGTCGAAAAGGACGCCATTTTCCCCCCTTGGATAACATACTTAAATACTAATCCTTACTGGAGTCAGCATAAGCATGATAATTTTTTTTTTTTACCAGAATCGGTAATGAGTGGTCGAAAAGGACGCCATTTTCCCCCCTTGGATAACATACTTAAATACTAATCCTTACTGGAGTCAGCATAAGCATGATAATTTTCTTCGGGTTCGAGACTTGGGAGCAGCCTCTCCATAAATGGAGGTAAGGCTAGCCGACATTCACCTCTCCCAGACCCTGCGTAAAGCGGGAGCCTTGTGCACTGGGTACGACCAGAATCGTTTTACCTGCCAAGAAGACATGCAATGGTTTTGAAAGGTCAATCATGTGTTGTAGGTATGCATAAGGTGTTACTTTTACGCTTTTATCTCCCTGCCATTAGTTGATTAACTTTGGTTACATTTTTTCTGTACCAGAAGACCGCACAAAGAAACTACACGAAACCAAAAGAAACGGAAAACTGAAGCCAGTGAATCATGAGACCAGGAACTGCAGAGGCCGAGAAGAACATTCACGTGTTTGAGACACCAGTGAGTTTCGAGTGCGCTGCTTTTGGAAATAGGTCTCAAATGTATTGCTGTACTCGAACAGATCGAACACGAGCGGAATTCATCTCCTTTTGTTCTATAACATGTGTATGAACTATGAAGGCCAAGGTCTAAATTCCTTGGAATTTTGTACATAATTCTGGAAATATTAGTGCAAGGTTTCATTATAATTAATTTAGTCCTGTTTCTACTTGCCATTATTTATGTTAAAAGAATAGCTGTTATATTTTAAACTCGAGATTAATTCTTGAATCTTAATGCGATTCTATACTCTCTACCATCTATAACGGAAGTTGAGCAAGAGATTCTCCCTTGTAATCGTTGTAATATGTCTCTATATCTATTTCTCCCATCACGTGATCAATTTGAATCAGTAACAGGGTTATTGGCTCTTATCCCTCTTTTTTCTGTATGGTGTGTGTGTGAGAGAGAGAGAGAGAGAGAGAGAGAGAGAGTCCCCATTGCAGTTAACCTTTTGTGCTGCATGGTTTGGTGAACCTCATTGGTAACCCTAGGGGACAAAAGAAGGGAGGTGATGTTTGAAGGCAATAACCTATTAAATCAAAACAGCTTTTTGAAATTGTGTTAAGTCATTTCGCCACGCTATCTTCTTGTGCTGGTGTGACAAGAGCATGATTTTCTGGTTGGCCATGCTTGCTTGCTTTCTTTGTTTGTTTGTTCTAGGCACCGCATGGCAACAAAGGCTATTTGGGCCCCCCATTTTCAACCAAATTTTATTTCCAACTTTTCTCAAACCCCCATTTGCCTTCCCACTCCATTTCAGTTCCTCAGCATGCATCTAAACAGAGACAATATTAAATCGAACAAAAGTAATTAGGTCAATCTCTTGCATTCAAGTTTGAATCTCTGTACGCGAGCAAAATAATGTACTCATATATACTTTGCTTCAAATACTGGGTCATCTAAAGAGAGCCTCAATTGTGGAATTTCCTTTTGGAAGCAGTATTGGTCCACTGAGCAAATGGAAATTTCTCCAAAATGTCAAACTCATCATGCCATGACCAAGATATCTCCCATGCTTGGTTTTGTAACCTCCAAAGGAAGAGCATAATGTTAAAAGTTGTAGTTCATAAAGCATGATTAAGGCCAAACTAATGATTAAAGATATTCATACTTGTCCCCCTCACCCCCCAAATTATTTCTTTTTCTCTTTCACATGCTCTAGCCATGACGTATCTGTTTGTTTTATCCATTTGCACGTGCACCATACAATCCTTTGAACCTATACACTTATACGGCAGCGCTTGGCTGCTAACTAACTTCTTAATGTTTAAAATATGTACCGAGTTACCATGCAAATAGATAAAAGTTTATATAGTATCGTCATATCATATCATCAAATTAACCTAGTATATGGAACTGCCCCAAACCATTTTAATTAAAAATGGAACTTTAACGAAAAACTCCCGGTACTGTTCACTTTAACGAAAAACCATATTTTTACACTAAAAAGTTAATCCTGGTTCTATTCACTTTACTCTTTATCTTGTCATTTTCGTTAAAACTAAGTTTTCAAGCCATTTTCCTTAGTTTTCCCAATTAAAAATAGGTTAACTTTGAATTTGGACCATAAAAATGTGGTGTTACATGGAGGTGAATGTTTGTCAAGGAGATGCTTAAAGTTACAAAAGCACTTGTCAACAGGGGGAAACATGCATGAGAATCTTATCTCATCTTAATCATAGAGATTATTTGTATATATTCTAGTGTCGGTTTGATTAAATTAACAAATGGTCCCCTAGCTAATCACTTGTTATTAGTGGATAATGGGCATTATTGGACGCAAAAGGTTTGCTTAAGCATCAAGGCACTCGCTCTCGATGATGTTTATATCTTCCAATTAAAACTATCCCCACCATGTGATCACTAAACATGGGATGTCTCAACTAAAAAAATGTTCTCTCAGCTGCGAGAGATGTTTCAATGTTCTAGAAACACATCTGGTTCATCACATGTAACAATATAATTGGTTGGAAACTTACAAATATTTTTTTAACTAATTGTATTATAACACTTGGTATACCGCACACGAAAAAAATTTCTCAACTATGAGATGGTTTTCAACTTTTGTTGATGTTTCACAATTTTTATATAGGAACCGGATCCCATCCGGACCCAAAGGAACTGAGCATACTCATCAAATGATCTGGACCATTGAAATTTGATCCAACAATTACAAATAGGAAGCTCTCTAAAAGTTATAATAATTGTAGTTGTTGGATCCAATTTTAATGGTCTGAATTATTTGATCCTTGAGCTCAATTCATTTGGATCCAGAGGGGATCCGTTTCCTTTTATATAACTCAATAGAACTTCGGATGAATGGCTAGGATGGAGACTTTCAATGTCAATGTCATAATTTTCAAAGAAAAGAAATATAGTTACTTAAAGAAAGTATTTGATGAAAGGGTCAGTGTCATTGCAAATAATCCTTGATCTTGTTCAGGCATGTCATTAGTCCAGGCAGGATCTTGCATTTGCAATCAGGAGAAAATCTTGGTGACGTTACTTCACTAGAATTACTTTTAGTTATTAAATACTCTAAAGATTAAAAAAAAAAAAACTTTAACGAAATACTCACAGTACTGTTTACTTTAATGAAAAACCACATTTTTACACTAAAAAATCAATTTTGATACTATTTAGTTTACCTTTTATTTTGTTGTTATCGTTAAAACTTAAAGTTTTCAAACATTTTTCATTAATTTTTCTTAAAAAAAATACAATTATGTCCATGGTTTAAAAAATCAACACTATCTCCGATATTTCGGTCGATATGTCGTGCTTTTGAGGCATCGGCATGGAATGAGGGTGAAGCTATTTCTTAATCCCATGACAAAAAATTAGTTGAAGTACTGGTAAAGTATTTGTAAAATCGACAGGTATCGTAAAAATATCGCCGAAACTGAGAAAGAATCCCACAATATTGACCTTGACGACGACTTAAGGCGAGTGATAGGCTGCACCGGCACTTTCAGGCCAAACTGTTCAATTTTTTGTTCTCTCTATCTAAAAAGAAATCAAATGATGACTCATTAACATGGAAAAATGGAAAAACTGGAATCATTACGTTTGATTTTCAGTCTGGGGCGACGCAATCTCATTTGAAATCTGGTTTGAGGTGTTTATGAAAAAAGATGGACATGTTTTGGGTTCTAATTGAGTATTTATCAAATATAGCCAAAAATTAACTCTTAATTTTAAAAATGTCACTTTTTATAAAAACTTTCAAATATATCCAAAATTTTACTTAAAGAGACACAAATACCCTCAAATTTAACAATTAAATAAATTAAAGGCTTTTTAGCTACTGTCGCCTCAAGCTCCACTCCAACTTCACCTTCGCTTCTACATCCCACCACCACAACCCTATCCCCTTCGATCCCCTCATCACCGACATTGAGCGCCGCTACGATTACCGTAAGTGGGAGCAGCATAATTTCAATCATGCCTTCAACGCCTTTTTTTTTACTAATATCCTTTTTAGTTTTAAATATAAAAATAGTTTTTAAAGTTAATTCACATGTCGTTATATGATTGTATTTGTGAGACCCATGTGGCGCCACATCATTACACTAATAGAGCCATTGACAGATTTTTCATGAAAAACCTAAAATGATCACGATGGATAAATTCAAATAAAGACTAAAATGATTCACGATAGACAAATTCAAGAACATTACTATTGATTATCATTAATTGTTAAGGACCAGATTAAGAAGTTATGTCAATGTCACGAATCATTTTGGCTAAAAAGCTTTTAATTTATTTGATTATTAAATTTGAGGGTATTTGTGTCTATTTAAGTGGAATTTTGGATATATTTGAAAGATTTTATAAAAAATGATATTTTTAAAATTAAGGGTTAATCTTTTGCTATATTTGATAAATACTCGTTCGACACAACCTCGTATAAACCTGGCGTCTTTATTTCCTTTTATTTGAAAGAGTGAGCTTTGGATTTTGAAGTAGTTTGGAAATTCATTTTGTCTGGTGACTACTAGTGCACTGCATGTCTCTTATCCAAAATTTAGCTTAAATTACGATAATTTACTTGTATTTGGTTATATGGGCTACTAATAAACTTATTGGTAAAAATATATTTCGAACTATCTGTCGATATTTCTGCAAAATGGTACGTCGATATTATCATTAAACTGATGTTTAAAACCTTGATTATATTACATAGATATTATACCATTACCGTATATATCATTTTTATTGGCAACGAAAAGAATTAGTCAAGAATAGACTATTGGACACACACACACACACACATACATATAATGTGGCGGAATAACCTAATGATAATAACGATAAGGACAATTATACCAAGGACAATGGTGATCAGAATTGAATGAACTATTAATTGAATTATTGGAAATTTGATGTGGATGATAACCAAGATTAAAAATGCCATGAAACCAACTATTATACATGAATAAAAAAAATTGTACAAATGATTGATCTGTGTTTACCTTGAACTTGAGGTATTCGATGAATTGACTGTGAGTAAGAATTTTATGACATTCAAAATTAGTTGTTATGAAAATATTCATAATGAAAGTAATGAATTCAAAACCATTCAAAATTAGTTGTTATCAAAATAATGAAAACATTCAAAATTACCTTGGGCTTGATTCTTGTTTTACTGGTGGTGATGGTAGAGTGGTTAGAAGCCTCCTCTGATCATGCCTTCTTGCTGTCATTCTTCCTCTACAGAAATTCTCTGGTTAGGAAATCAGGGATACAATTTTGACTACCTTTGATGTATTCGATTTCAAAATAAAAAATACTTAATACAGCTTGTCATTGTGCAAAAATATATTTTGATGCAATGTTTTGAACATCTTTTTGTAAAATATGTTTTGTAGATTTGCAATCGACTCTGACTAAAAACTTTTGATTTAATAAATCATCTTGAAATTTACTAATACATAATACTATAGATAATAGTACTATAATTACTTTGTGCTGGATTCCATACTCTTGAATGGAAACGAACAATTTGTTTAGGAGATTCGGAAGAAATTGACTGTTTGAGAATACCACCGTAACCAATTTTAAAGGCATCAGTTTCAACGATCTTGAATGAATTAGGAGTTGGAATGCCAAGACAGGGCAACGTCTTAACATGTGACTTAATCTGTTTAACTATGAAAGTATGAGTGTCTGACCATGGTGAGGGATTTTCATTTAGACGATTAAACAA